CTCACCCCATCCTCCTACACCCGCACCACATCCACCTGACCCTCACCCCATCCTCCTACACCCACACCACGTCCACCTGACCCTCACCCCATCCTCCTACACCCACACCACGTCCACCTGACCCTCACCCCATCCTCCTACACCCGCACCACGTCCACCTGACCCTCACCCCATCCTCCTACACCTACACCACGTCCACCTGACCCTCACTCCATCCTCCTACCCACACCACGTCCACCTGACCCTCACCCCATCCTCCTACACCCGCACCACGTCCACCTGACCCTCACCCCCTCCTCCTACACCCGCACCACGTCCACCTGACCCTCACGCTGTCCTCTCACATGCTAGGTCAGGGCTCCTCCTTTGGGAACTCCTCCCTCCGCCCCCACATTCTGTGTGAGTCTCTCTCTCCCCTGTCAATGAGGACAGCTGAGGACGGACTGCTAAGGCGCTGTTCAGTTCTCCAGTGCGATCACTGTTTTGTGATGAGAGAAAGTACTGTTGTTTGGGGAAACAAATCTTTCAAGTATTTAGCAGTGAAGTAATGTGATGTCTGGAACTCGTTTTAAAATTGTTCAGAAAAGCAGGGAAGGTGAGATTTCACAAATGTTAGCCATCAGTGAGTCTAAAAACTGTTGTGCAAATACTCATCCACCCATTCTTGCAACTCTGAAATCTGAACTTTCTAGTAAAACGTGAGGAGGATGTACCCTCCCCAGAGTCTCTGATGACAGATGATGACCTGGGCTTGTCTTCAAACCCCCAAATGCCAGCTGAAAATGAAATTAAACAACCTACCACCCAATTATCATTTGAGATGCATACCCAAAAAAACCAACACGACCTGGTAGGAAAGAGCCTGTAAAATCAATACACAAAATGCCTGCTCTTCTAGTAACAAATAATAAATAAACTACTGAAAGACCCCCTCAACCTACTTAAGAATGCATTTAATTGGTGTGCTGAGCACACAGAAACAAGACACTGCCCCGTGAGGCTTTGACACAGCACATTCCCACGAGGAACCAATATTGGAAACATGTTCAATTCCCTCCCCAAACAACTCCAAAATTTTATGCAATCAAAATAAAAATATCAGCTAAAAAGCTACACAAAATTCTGAAGTTCCCAGGTAATAAGCCAGGGAAGAGAAATAAGAGCACATAGACATTTGCCAATTATGATCGAGAGAAACAGTGGAGACACAGCAGAAGCAGATGGGAGCCCAGGCAAGGTGAGGGGAACGGGGCCCATGACACCGTGGGCACCACTGGTGTCTTCTGGCTTTCAAGGGAAGTTCATCTCCAGACCTTCAAACACTTAACCCCTGCCCTCACACCCCCGCCCAGGCTCTGTCTTTGTGCTCCTCTCCAGGGCGGTTCACTGGGAGCCTTGGATCCCAAGGCAAACTGGAAGAGGAAGAGGAGGGCCCACTTCATACCTGCCCCTGGGGCAGGGCGGGTAAGCCGCAGCCGGGCTCCTGCAGAGCAGTGTGTGAGGGCGCCGCCGCCCAGCAGAGAGCACCAGGGCTGGAAGTACCAGCAGAAGCCCCAGTGCTCAACGGGCTGCGGGCTGCCTTCTGTGTGCAGGGTCTGCACTAGAAGACGCAGTGAGACGCCAGCTAAATAACGTTAGAGCAGGAAGTCACAGGACCATAATCTATAAAGGAGTAGACTGAACATTTCAGTGCATGACGAGTTAAAAATATCTGCCAAGAGTGGACGCTGAGCCTGGCCCAAGCACATCGATGGCCTAGCCCTGGTCACTGAAGGCGTCTAGAGGGGTGGCAGCCAAGGGTGGAAGCTGAGCCTGGCCCAAGCACATCGATGGCCTAGCCCTGGTCACTGAAGGCGTCTAGAGGGGTGGCAGCCAAGGGTGGAAGCTGAGCCTAGCCTGAGCACATCGATGGCCTAGCCCTGGTCACGGAAGGCGTCCGGAGAGGTGGCAGCCAGCAATCAGGAGCTCTGCTTCTCTGCCTCTCCAATCTGTGTGTATAAAAACAGAGATGAGAGTTTGGCCACCTGTTAACATCTCATGTGAGAGTGCCTGCATTCCTGCCCCAGCTCTGCTCCCCGTTACAGCTTCCTTCTGATATACACCCAGGGAGGCAGCAGGGGATGGCTCAAGTATTTAGGCTCCTGCCTCCCCCTTGAGCAAAATGGACTGAGCACCCAGCTCCTGCCTTTGGCCTGGCCCAATCCTGGTTCTTACAGGTATCTGGGGAGTGAACCAGCAGATTGGAGAACAATCTCTCTCTCTCGCTCGCTCCCCCTTCCCCTATCCCTCCATCTCTGTCTTGCTCTCAAATACAATTTTTTTTAATTTTTAATAATCTATAATGAAAATATCTGCCAGAAAAAAATAACAAAGACCAAGAAAGAATTCCATCATAGAAGGCAGAAAATACTAACTCCCCAGGTATACAAAAATTTGCATAAATCTACAAGAGCAAGTCAGTAATATAAGTCCACTCACCCACCCTCCTCAAAAGCAAAGAAAACTGGAGCCAGTGTTGGGCACAGTGAGTTATGCTGCTGCCTGCAACACCCACATCCCAGGGGAGCACCAGCGAGTCCCGGCTGCTCCACTTCTAATCCAGCTCCCTGCTAATGCACCCAGGAAAGCAGCAGAAGATGGTCCAAGTGCTTGGGCCTCTGCACTCATGTGGGAGACCCAGAAGAAGCTCCTGGATCCTGGCTTAGGCCTGACTCAGCCCTGGCCCTTTTGGCCATTTAGGGAGTGAACCAGTGGATGGAAGACTTCTCTCTCCCTCCCTCCCTCCCTCTCTCTCTCTCTGCCTCTGCCTCTCTGTTAACTCCACCTTCCAAATAAATAAATAAGTATATCCTTAAGAAAAAAACCTAAAAGACAGAAAAATATTAATGGCTAAAAAATAAAGACATAGTAAATTTCACTCAAATAAATATAAAACAACAAAAATATACCATCTTACAATTATCAGATTGGGAAAGACAAGGTTTACAACAAGAATACTGAAGATTATATGAAGACTTGGGTATTTCCACGTACTATTTACTGGCTGGAGTATAAGCTGATAAAACCTCTTTGAAAAACAATTTAACAACCTCCAATTTTAAATTTGCATATCCTTTGTTCTAACAATTCCATCTCTAGAAATCAGTTGTCCACTTATATCCGCCCAGGGCGTCTTCATCCTCACACAAGTGACGTTGGTGGGGGGGCGGCTCCTCATCTGGTGAACTGTGCCTGCACACCTGTGCTCCTCACAGCTCTGTGGACACAAAGGGCCTGAAGCGCCCCTCTGACCCCAGACCAACATAACACACGGCGGGGGTCAATCAGAGGAGCCAGCTCTGTGATCCCAGCTCACACCCCTGAGACACACCGTGTTCCGAGGAAGAAAGGCAGTGAGCCACGTGGGCTGGATGAACGAAGGTGCAAAGGAGACTTGTATGAGCGTGAGACGCCCTGTCCTCCGGAGGACACAAAAGGACAAGTGGCTCCAGGAGGCTGCACCAAGTGCAGTGTGCACACTCTGCACTGCTTCCTGCCTGTGGGCACAGTGCGCTCACTGCAAACTAGTCTAACATTGCTACTGAACACAGTTCTGCTTTCCAAAAGTACAAGTACGGCCACTTCGGCACAGCACTGCAGTTGAAGGAGACGTGCGTTCCCACACGTGCGGGTCTGAATCAGCACGCACTTTCTAGAACAGAAGGTGGCGTTCCGTGAAGACCTGGGAAAAACGCTCATCCGCTGATTCACCAAATCCAACTGCAACAATCCACCCTAAGGAAGTAACGGAAGATGCACAAAAAGACTCGCATACATGGCTATGCTTCTCTAAGACTGAAAACAAACACACAGCTTCAGCGCTGAGAAATAAAGAAAAGGACTACACGTGACCCCAAGTCCACGTGCGTCACACTCGATGGGGAAGCACTCTTGACTGACAGGTGGAGAATAATGACTGCGGAAAACGGCACACTTAGGCTTTCAGACATTAAAAACCAGCACAGAAAGCAGGTACAGAAAAAGTCTGCAGGAGCCCATGCGTTCTCTCCACATGTGGTGATTATAGAAGATTTAAAAAAAGTTCTTGACTTGACTATACAGCCATGGCGTCCAACAGATGTTGTGACGCATGCATACAGGTGCACTGGCTGGAGCAGGGTGTTTAACATACCGGTGGTGAGAACATGAAACCTCGGCAGTGTGCACACTCGTGAGGCCCTGCTAACTGCACCTCCGGCACAGGACAGACCTGCGCAGACTGCTCCTGCCCAGCCGGAGCTCCGCCTCCAGCCGCACCCCCAGCTGTGCCAGCTGCAGCCCCCGCCACGGGGATTCCACACGCCTTTGACTCTACCATTTTCCAAAATAAACATGAACTGCTGATCTAGTAAGATTGCAAAATACAAAAATAAGATTATTTAAAAACAAAAATTAAAGGCACTTACAAAAATGGACGCAGACCCCCATAGAAAATACAAACTTGATTTTTAGGATATAAATTTTATCTCTGCAATGGAAATACTGTAGGTACTTCTGTGCTTCAGGAAGAAAACGTACCAGGTCATGATCAGTGACTATCTCAGAAACAGGGCTGACTTTACCTCCTGGCTCTCACTCTTCCTACGCTCCACAGGAACAGTCTGGGATGGGAAGTGGAAGAGTGTGCACAGCTTGAAAGCTACAGCCACTCGCACTTCAAATCAGACACCCACCCCAGCACAGGCACCCGCCGTCCTGAACTCTGCCCAGGACCCTGTGCCTGGAGCCTTTCAGAACCGTCCCCTGCTTTGGCCATCAACACCTTCTTCTCTGCCCCGGACGCCCACCCGACAAGGCACCCAGGAGCCAGCGACAACATTCCATCGTCTTCAAGGGGGAAAAAGTACTTTTAGCCACCATGGAATCCTACATAAGTTCATCCCTGTTTGAAGAAGGGGGCTTGGGGAGGCAGGCTTTGGTGTAGCAGTTAAGACATCACTCGGGACATCGGCAAGGTAGATTGCCCGGGTTCAAGTCCAGGTTCCACTCTCAATCCCAGCTTCCTACTATGTGCCTCCCAGGAGGCACCAGGTGACGGCTCAAGTAGTTGGGGCCCTGCGAGCCCTGTGGAAAATCTGGACTGAGCTCCTGGCTCCTGGCTTCGGCCTGCCCTGGATGTTAGATATTTTGGGAGTCAACCACTAGATGTAAGATCTCTGTGTCCATCTGTCTGTCTCTGTCTCGCTTCCATAAAATAAATTTTAAAAAATTAAAGAAGGGGGTGGAGATAGGGATAGCTTCTGCTCGTGTGGACCTACTTCATGTGGACCTACTTTATTTATTTATTTTTTTTAAGATTTCTGCATTTATTTGAGAGGCAGAATTACACAGAGAGAGAAAGAGAGACAGAGAGAGAGAGAGAGATCTTCCATCCACTGGTCCACTCCCCAATTGGCTGCAACAGCCAGAGCTACGCTGATCCGAAGCCAGGAGTTTCTTCTGGGTCTCCCACGTCGGTGCAGGGGCCCAAGGACTTGGGCCATCTGCTGCTTTTCCGGGCCATAGCAGAGAGCTGGATCGGAAGTGGAACAGCCAGGACTTGAACCGGCGCCCCTATGGGATGCCAGCACTGCAGGCAGTGGCTTTACCCACTACACCACAGCACTGGCCCCATACTTGATTTTTACAAAGATTTATTTATTATTTGCTTGAAAGCAGAGTGATAAAGAGAGAGACAGAGAAATAAAGAAATCTTCCATCTGCTGGTCCACTCCCCAAATGACCACAACAGCCAAGGCTATACCAGGATTCAGCCAGGAGCCAGGAGCCGGGAACTGCGTATGGGTCTCCCACACGGGCGGCGGGGGCTCAAGTGGGCCATCTCGTTGCCTTCCCAGGCACATCAGCAGGAAGCTGGATCAGAGGCAGAGCAGCCGGGACATGAACCAGTGCTCTGACATGCAACGCCAGCTTCATTAACCTGCTGCAACATGCGGCCGGCCCCTCACGAGGACATGCAAACATACTACCTTTAAAAGGTCTCTCCCCTACTACTGACAGAGCCAGGAAATAAGACATTTTACTGGTGAACCAGAGATTTGCCGAGGCAAATGTAATGGTCATTAGATCCCTGACAGCTGGTTCACACCTAACTACCAATCAGATGCGTGTTCACACTCACGGCAGAGCACAGGGAAACGGTCACGATACCTCTTCCTTCTCGTGCAGCATAATGTGCGCCTTGAGACTAGCCACTCTGGAGAACTTCTTGTTACAGACGGGGCAGGCGGGGTCCTCCCCATTGTGGGTGCATTTGTGCAGTGTCAGGTTGAATTCAACATTGAATGTTTGGGGACACTGGTCACAGCGATGTGGCTATGTGGAGAGAAAAGTAAAGAAGCCCTGAAATACAACTGTCCCACACGCGTGCTCAATAACTGCTCCTAGAACATCAGCAAGTAGCACAGCCTGCAGCCGGTCTCCCGAAAAACCTGGGAAGCCTGCCCTGGACCTCAAGTCCGCGTGTCCTAAGCAGACACGGCAGAGGCAGGCCGTGTTCTCGAGCACACGCGGTGTCTCGGGCAAGGGGGCCCCGGCAGACACAGGACAGACTTCCGCTCCCTGGGGGTTTTTCCTCTGACCCACTCACTCTCGGAAACCAAACCACTTCAAGTAACTGAAGTCATCAGACCCACTTTTTCTATATTTGAACAGAGTTGCTTATGTCAGCCCCAAATTTTCCCAGGCTGGGAGGGATCCTGCCTCTGACTTGAAGGCCCAGAGCCTGGTGAGGGCCAGTCCTGATTTGGGATTATCAGCCTGGCAGGAGAACGCCACCCATGGGCCCAGTGCTGGCGCTCCGTAGTTACAGCTGCAGCTCCGCCAGATGGCTGAAAGCCAACCCAGAGAGCTCCCGGCTTCCAGGGCACCTATTCGGGGAAAAAGCCAGCAAGCGCTCTTAACTGCCACTTTCCCTGACCACCCCATTACGACACCAAAGTTCTTGACAGACTCCACACGGGGCCCCACGGGATAGGGCTCGATGGTCTGCTGGGGCTCCTGCCGCTCCCCGCACACCCACGCCTTCCACAAGACCACCGCACAGCCAAGACCACGCAGGGCGAAACTCCCTGCTGGAGAAAACCCTTCAAAATACACCAGCAGTCAAAGCTACCAAAAAATTGGACTTTTAAAGAATTTCTCTGTGCACACATAATGACTTCAATGCACACTGATTCCCTAGAACAGGCTCTCAGAAACAAGCAAAAATGCCAAACTACGTATACGGTACCCAGGCTGTACGACTGAGGAGCCTAATGCACGAGAGAGATTTCGACTGTGCTGACTGAGCCGACGCTGTCCGAGGCTCGCAGCCCGGGCCTCCCTCGGGGAATACATACCTTGTCATTTCGCTCGTGACCCCTCATGTGGCGCTGGAACTGGGACTCTTTGGGGAAAGACAGCAGACAGATCTCACACTTGTGGAAGTTTGGGACTGGCTCGTCATAATTAGTGTTCTCTGCATTCAATGTTAAAACTCCATCTACAAAATCGCATAGGTATAGACAATGAATACCGTTGTTATTCTGATCCCATCAATGAAACTAAATTCTGTGGCTATTATTTAGAAACCAAATATCACATGAAGTTAATGATATGCAGAACTTTTTAAATGAACATGTTTTACAGTTAGAAATGAGAACTGTTCAGGTGATGGAGATCTGGGAAAAGAGAATTCTAAATCCTTGTAGGTGGGATGTTTGGAAACCAGTGGTTGGATTCCTGAAACTGGACAGCCACCCACCCACATGCAATGGCGTATACCCCCACGCCCCTGCACACACACCCTTATACAAACACCTGCACAAGCTCACACACAGGCTCACATGCACACATGTACACCACACATACAAGCAGACACACCTGCAAAAACACACTCCCCCATATACACACATGCACATACCTGTGCAAGCTCCACACATACATGCAGACACACCTACACACATACACACACACACACACGCATGCGCACACCATGACCTAGCTTCTCAGGGTTATTTCACTACAAGACACAGAGTTTTCACCTAGTCACTTGGAAAAGTCATTGAAAATACACAGATTCACAAACCATTCAGCAAACATAGAAAAGCCTTTATAGGCTAACTCACTAATTCAGTCTATCTCAGAAAATGGGTGCAAAGCAAGATTAAGCAAAAAACAAACTAACACACTCCTGTGGCCTCCCATGGCTTGGGAGACGAGGGGCTGCAGTGCCTTGACCAGTCCTCAGTGTCCACAAACTCATCCCAGGAAACCTCCCTAAACACACAGGTGTTCTCAAATACGGACCAGTACAACAGCTAACGTCATGACTGAAGAATCTCAGGATTCGTCAAGAACACCATCAAGGGCCCTGAGTACCCACGATTCGCTAAGTGAACAACTGGCTGCACACATGCAGCTCACCTAATCTATAAGGATTAGACATGCTCACACACAAACCCTCGGGTTAATCAATCCACAGACACCCGGGTCCGCTCAGGAGCAGCACAGCCACGGGAAGCTCCCTCCACCAGGCTGGGGCTGTCAGCCCGTGGCCGGCTCACCTACAACCCAGCGCCCACGAGCAGGGACCGCGAGCTGCACAGAGCGAGTCGGACAACTCAGTAGCTGGTGTCCTAACCTACGGCCAAGTACAGCGCAGAAAGAGCGCCTCTACCCAGCTTCTAAAGTGCGAGATGGAGCCGCGATTTCGGCACAGAGGAAAGCAAGGCTCACAGCCTCTGTGCTAGCACTCCTCAACACGACCCCGCACGAGAAGCCACTTAATTAACAAACGGAAACCGGCAATTCTAACTAAAGTGTGCCTAGAGGAGAAAAACAAAGGTACTGTAGCTTCCACGTGGAGCCTGATTTTAAACCCCAGGGGCCCACACTGGGGCACAGTGCCAGCATCCCACTGGAGTCCTGGCTGCTCCGCCTCTGATCCAGCTTCCTGACAATGCCCCCACAGAGACCCCGATGCAGTTCCTGGCTCCTGGTAGCAGTCAGGCCTAGTCCAGGTCATTGCTGCCATTTGGAGAGTGACCCAGTGGACTGAAGATCTCTCTGTCTCTGTCACTCTGCCTTTCAAATAAATAAATTAATCTTTTACATATAAAAAAGAACAAATTATTAAAAAAAAAAAAAACAAAGCAACTGTGACTTTCTCTCCTGCACCCACTGCTGCAAGGCACCCTCTCTAACCAGGAGGCCCGGCCCCCCCGAAGCCCCTCCCACTAGACTAAGTGGCCTCCAGATTCAACATGGCGCCTCCTTTTCATCCTCTCAATCTGCTCTCTCTGAGCGGTGTCCTCGGCCTCCAAACCACACCTTCAAGTTCATGGGTATTTTCCCCAAGAGCATCTGTGGTCCAGCAAACGGGCCCATCCTGGGATAAAGACTCTAACCCCACAAGAGGTCACGGAGGGGCTGCTGGTAAGCCATGTGCCCTGCTCTGCGTCTGGCACAGGTCCACTCTGCTGGGGTCTCCGCCTTATAGCCAAGAGATTCTTCAGTGCCCAGTGAGCCAGGAAGGGTGTGATCAGGTGCATGGCCACCCAATGGGCCAGCCCGGCTAAGGGCAGCTGCTTTTGAAAGTAGAACTTCCTGTAGGATTTCTGGAAGTAGACATGTATCATGTCTCCCAGGGCAGAGCAGACACACACACACACACACAGGCCAGAACAGGCACTCACAGGCATTCACATACGCGTATGAAGACACATCCAGACCAGAACAGGTACTCAAACACGTGCACACACACACCTAGACCAGAACAGGCACAAACTCACACACACCTAGACCACGACAGGTACTCACACACATGCACACACACCTAGGCCAGGACAGGTACTCACACATGCACACACACCTAGACCACAACAGGTACTCTCACACACACACACCTAGACCAGACAGGTACTCACACACGTGCATGCACACACCTAGACCAGACAGGTACTCACACACGTGCATGCACACACCTAGACCAGATAGGTACTCACACACGTGCATGCACACATAGACCAAAAAGGTAATCACACATCTGCAGACACACCTAGACCAGACAGGTACTCACACATGTGCACACACACACCTAGACCAGGACAGGCACTCACACACATGCACACATACACCTAGACCAGAACAGGTACTCACACATGTGAACACACACACCTAGACCAGGACAGGTACTCACACACGTGCACACACACACACCTAGACCAGACAGGTACTCACACATGCACACACACCTAGACCACAAGAGGTACTCACACACGTGCACACACACACACCTAGACCAGGTACTCACACATGCACACACACCTAGACCAGACAGGTACTCACACACATGCACACACACACACCTAGACCAGACAGGTACTCACACACATGCACACACACACCTAGACCAGACAGGTACTCACACACGTGCACACGCACACCTAGACCACGACAGGTACTCACACACATGCATGCACACACCTAGACCACAAGAGGTACTCACACACGTGCACACACACACCTAGACCAGACAGGTACTCACACACGTGCACACACACACACCTAGACCAGACAGGTACTCACACACGTGCACACGCACACCTAGACCACGACAGGTACTCACACACGGGCATGCACACACACCTAGACCACAACAGGTACTCTCACACACACACACCTAGACCAGACAGATACACACGGGCATGCACACACCTAGACCAGACAGGTACTCACACACGTGCACACACACACCTAGACCAGAACAGGTACTCACACACATGCATGCACACACCTAGACCACAAGAGGTACTCACACACGTGCACACACACACCTAGACCAGACAGGTACTCACACACGTGCACACACACACCTAGACCAGGACAGGTACTCACACACGTGCACACATACACCTAGACCAGAACAGGTACTCACACACATGCACACATACACCTAGACCACGACAGGTACTCACACATATGCACACACACCTAGACCACAACAGGTACTCACACACACACACACCTAGACCAGGACAGGTACTCACACATGTGCACACACACACCTAGACCAGACAGGTATTCACACACGTGCACACACACACCTAGATCAGACAGGTACTCTCACACACACACACGTAGACCAGACAGGTACTCACACACGTGCATGCACAGACCTAGACCAGGACAGGTACTCACACATGCACACACACACACCTAGACCAGGACAGGCACGAACTCACACATACACACCTCTAAACCAGAACAGGTACTCACAGACATGCACACACATACACACCTCTAAACCAGAACAGGTACTCACACACATACCTAGACCAGAACAGGTACTCACACAACGTGCACACACACTTATACCAGACAGGTACTCACACACGTGCATGCACACAGCTAGACCAGACAGGTACTCACACATGCACACACACACACCCAGACCAGAACAGTTATTCTCACATCCACACACACCCATACATCCACACACATCCTCTAAGCATGGGGCTACCCGCACTTATCCATAACCAAAGCTAAGAGCTCCAGTGATCTGCAGCCACGTGCTTGTGCCGCTGGAGAAGACAGGGGAACCCTGTGAGGGTCCCAGGTGCAGCACGCTCAGGCAACTTATGCAACGCAAACACCTTACACATAAACACACGACCACCACTCACTGCCATCAGTCACCCTTTCTGCCACCCCAAACTCTCAATCCACTATCCAAATCAAACAAAAACTGACATTACAGGAATGCGTCTGAACAGCTCTGCCAGTCCTGAGGAAAGCAGTCTGAAGTCTAGTTTCAAAATCAATTTAAGTCCTCGTGTAAATACATTCTAAATAGCGTATAATAACTGTCCACCACCTCAAAAATAACAAACCCATCTCAGAGTTGTGACAAATAAAGAATGATTCCAGATGGCACAGGGACAGCAGCCCCCAGCAACTGAGGGCCACGGCCATCTCTAGCCCTCACGCTTGCCGGCCAACGCCCCGTCAGCCCCTGACCATGCTGTCCAGTGTCTACACCCAGGCTTGCTCTGTCAGGGCACGGACTACAGGCGCAATCTCCAAACTCCTCCTCCTCATCCCCCCAGATCAAGCGCAGCCAAGCAGGCTCACCAGCCAAGTCCTAACAGCCAAGGCCTGCCATTCGTCTCTGTCTGCAGAGCCTATGTCGTGTGCCGTTCTCTTACACAAAATGCCTCTCCGGGATCCGCGGCCAAGTTCCAGCCAGCCCCACTGCATTATTGCATGCCAATGCCTCATGCACCCACTTCAATCTCTGCCACGCGTGTAGCCCCATGAAGTACTTTCAACACTAAAATGAGACACACGTCAGGTTGTTCCTAAAGTAACTCTAACCCCCAAACCATTCGTTTGATTTTATGTTTTGAATTAAAAACTTTCTAAAATACAGCTGACCTCCCTGTGTGCTCCCAGTGCCCACTGCCTGCCACCTTGCATTCCCCATGCTGGCACGGCCAGGCCCCGGCCCCGGTGCCCTGTCCACAGCACTCCCTGGACACCCTGGATACTCTCTGCCACTCTTTGTCCTGTTACTAACTCCTTTCTCCTCCAGGTTTTCCTCTGTGCTGCTGCTCTGCCCGCAAGGGCCAGCGTTCAGGTTCCCACACAGTGGGGGCCCCCGCCCAACGCTTCCCACAGCATGCCAGTGTCTCCAGGGCCTTCATGACCTGACAACCTCTGCCCAGCCACCTGAAGCCCCCACGGCCCATCAACACAGCTCCTACTTAGACTCCCGACTCACGGCCTGCCCCTCAGAACCACGCAAGGCGGGTGGTCGGTTCCCCAGCCGTAGCTGGGTCTGCTCACTCTCGGCCTGTACAGGTATGCAAGCTGCTCCCAGGAGCCAGCCTCAACGTGTCTGTGCTCTTTTCTCTGCAGGATCTCTCTCGGAAAACCAAATGCCCTGACTGGGTCTTGAGCACGCCTTAAGCACCTCGTTCCTCTGGGCAGAACACCCACCTGTCAAGCCCAAAGCACCTGACCCAGACATGTATGGAAAGCCAAGGAGTCTCCCTCTTTCTGTGTTATCTCCTCAAATACCTGCATGCTGGAAATGAAACGTAACTCACAAGGAAAACAACCCCTGGCATTGTGGCACAGTGGGTTCAGCCACTGCTTTCGATGACAGCATCCCATATCACAAGGCCAGTTTGAGTCCCAGCTACTCCACTTCTAATCCAGCTCCCTGCTAATGTGCCTGGAAAGCAGAGGAGGACAACTCCAGCACTTGGGCCCCTGCACCCACGTGGGAGACCTGTATAGACTTCCTGGCTCCTGGCTTTGGCCTGGCTCAGTCCTGGCCATTACAGCTATTTCAGGAGTGAACCAGCAGATGTAAGACTCTTTCTGTCACTCTGCTTTTCAAATCAATCAAGCAATAAGAAAAACAAGCCCCCAAATGCATTCCATGGAAAGTGGTTACCATGTCTTTAAATGAGAGGTGGGGGAGGGGAGGGGCAGAGATAGGCTGCAGAGCATACAGTTTCCTGTAAAACTGCAGAATAAGACAATCACACGGGCTTCCTGTATAGAAACCAACTCACCCATCTGGACGGCAGGCGCTATGAAGGGACTCGTATAATTAGCGTACTAACTGAATCATGAGCCGCGATCACGCACTGCCCATTCAGAAGAAGCTCAGGGAAGAAGTCAAGCTGAACTCCAGGGGACTCGGCCCAGGGAAGCCAGGTGCCGGCGGTGGCCCCAGGGCTCGTTTTCAGCTCAGAAGCGGAAGCTCCCTCAGCTGAGGGCACCCAATGTCCAGACGGCGACGGGCATGGACTTTAACGTCGTGTACGCCTAGGGCCGTGTATGAACACACTCAGTCGGGAGCCACGCCGCAGCGCCCCGTGTGTCAGATGAGAGAGGCGGTTCAATGACAATTGTGTCCTGAAGCGGTGGTGTTCTCCATGCCACATGAGGTCAAACAGGCCTGCAGCACAGGGAAGAAGCCGGGTTAGACCCAGCGCACGCCCTCAGCACGTGGGCAAAGTGCTTCCCGGGTACGGAGGTGCCGCCAGCAGGTGCACACTCAAAGCCGCTGTGCCATCTCCCAGGCTGTGCAGCCAGCGCCCCAGTCACGCCGCGGTGGCTGATTCACCCTCGCCAACTCTAAAAGGAGCATCAATTCCTTTGAAGTGTTTGCTTTCAAAAGAATTTAAACTTGGGGGGATGTATGTTCGGAAACGACACTCACGCCACCCAAATATAACAAAACTACAGTAAAATCTCAACAAGAGAAACCCTGCGTGTCTGCACCTCACCGCCTTGCCAGGTCGCAGCTCTAGGCTGGCCTTCCTCTGCCGGTGCAAAAAACTTAACTCCCATGTTAGACCAACTGCTGGTTTGCTGGCTGCCACTCCCACTCACACACCTGCCATCAGCACTGCACCAGGAGCCTGTGTGCTCGTGGGGTAAGTGGGGTCCAGAGTGTAGGGGGGCACCAAGCCCACCTGCAACAGACGCGGAAAGGCAGGGACCCAGCAGACCAGGAGATGGCGAGGGAGCACTCGCCTCCTCCGCGCTGGGCCCGGCACCCCTCGCCCTGCCGACCACACCCTGCCCTACACCGTGAGGATAAAGACGCGGTCCCCCTACTCACGTGGGCGTGGTGGAGACCGGAGTTCTACAGCACGGAAGAAACGATCCTGCTAAATGCTCTTTAACCAGTAGGGCGCATGCCCATCAGGATGGCTGGAGTCCTGCTGAGGGTGTGGCACTGCCGGAAGTGACCACTCCGCTGGCGTGCAATGGCTGTGACCCCACTCTGGAAACCGGTCTGGCAGCGCCCAGCAGAGCTGAACAGACCCGCACCCTCGAGCCTAGCAGCTCCACTCCTGGTACCGCCCAGAACAACGTGCACATCAAGGCACCAAACAGGCAAGTTCAGAACTCACAGCAGCACTGCTGACAGCAGGCTGCAAGTAGAACAGCACAAATACCCGAGAACGGGTAGAGGTGCAGGAGCGGTCACCCAGAACAAAACACACCCAGACAAGAACACACGCCCTGCTGATGGTACCCACAGACCAATCTCCTGCCTTCACCGAGAGGCCAGGCGTCTGAACGGCTGCTGCACACAAAAGCTCAACACAGAGTTCTGCAGCCACACTGGCCTCTGCTGTCGGGAACCAGCCAGCGATCAGCTAGCCTGGGGGGCGGCCTGGGGTGCAGCACCTAGAGACTTCTCAGCACGCCGGCAGGCCCTCCCTCTTCACTGAGCTGACCACACTTCCTGGTTGACATCGGTACAGCCGCCTCAAAGTCCCACACACAGCTTTCTTTTCCAGGCCTGTCCTTCCTGCCAGGCTGGGGGACGAGGGCCCAGCCCTGTTTGTCAACCGGCTGTCACTGAAACACGGCCAGGCTCCTTGGCTTGCCTGTGGGCACTCAGACTGCAACAGCAGATTGGGCACTTACAGCACAGACTGTATGACCCACAATACCACCAGGCCCTTCACAGAGAGTATGCCGATCCTGCCCCGGCAGCGAACCAGGAGTCCCTGCGAACTGGACCCACTGCAGCCCGGAGTTCCCGTCACCTCCTGCTCTCCACGGCTCCCCCACCGCCGTCATGTACACAGCGGAAAAGGCAGTAAGGGTCTGCACACATCATGCGTTGTCTTCTCAAGTATGGCTGAAGCACAGCCTCCTTAAAACTGAGGACTTCTCTGGGGCTGGCGCTGCGGTGCAGGAGGTAAAATCGCTGCCGGCAATGTCGGTACCCCACATGGGCACCGGTTCGAGTCCCGACTGCTCCACTCCCAATGCTCCCTGCTAATGTGCCTGGGAAAGCAGGGAAAGACGGCCCAAATGCTTGGACCCCTGCATCCATGTGGAAGACCCAGATGAATCTCCTGGCTCCTGGCTTCAGCCTGGCCCAGCCTGGCTGTTGCAGCCATTTTGGGAGTGAGCCAGCAGATGGAAGATTCTCTGTCTCTGTCTGCCTCTGCCTCTACCTCTCTATAACACTGACTTCCAAATAAAATAAATAAATCTAAAAAAAAAAAAGGAAACGGACACCGCCCCGACGGCAGCTGCCCCCCCCACCTCTGCCTGACATCCACCGAGCACTGAGTCTTTGAGCCCCCCGGGGTGCTCTCTGCAAGCATCGCCAGCTGAGGAACGCAACAGTGAGCCTCAGACCCGGGCTGTCACACAGTGATGCACAACTACCATCTCCTAGAAGCGCAGGGCGGAGGCACCCCCAGCCTCGGTGAGGGGGCTGCTCGAAAACAAGCACTCACAACGCTGTCCCACGTATGGACTTTAATGTGTCTCAGTGTGAAGTGCAGCAGACACGGCAAAACAGGGTGGGACCAGCCTAAAGACACACAGACCAGGGGACAGAGCAGAGGTCAGGAACAAACTAAGACAGCCAGCGTTACCGACCTCTGAATCAGAGAACGCCAAGGTCGGCCGGTACAGAAGGCACAGACTCCCACAAGTGGCTCTGGATCAAGGGTGTCCCACGTGTGAAAGAGCGAACGCAGACCCTCACCTCACACCACACTAACCTGACACAGGTCAAAGACCTCAATTTGGGAAGCAAAACTGTAAAACATAGGAGAAAGCTTCATGGCTGTGGATTTAGTGAGGGGCTCTTAAATATTCTGACACCAAAAGCCACAAGTAACCGAAGAAAAAAACAGATAAATCGGACCTCATCAAAATTAAAAACTTTTGTGTGTCAAAGGACGCTATCAAGAAAGTAAAAAAGATAAGCTGTAGAATGCGGGAAAAACCTGCAGATCCTCTACCTAATACGGGCCTAGTACCCAGAACACAGGAAGAATCTCACAGGTCAACACCCGGGAGAAACCATCAAGATAAATGAGCAAAAAACTGCAGGTTTCTCCACGAAACACAAATGGCCAACAGATGCGTGAGAAGATGCTCACTCATTAATCATCAGGGAACTACACACAAAATCACGGTTGAGCGCTCCTCCAGCCCCAGACACCAAAAGGAAAAGAGGCCAAGGGGAAGAAGGCGGCCCCTGCCGGCACAAGGCAGCAGGAGGAGAGAAGTCCAAGGACTTTGGCACTCAACAGGCAGCTGGCCCAAAGGGGACCCCACCTAATGGTCCCATGTGTCCAGCTGCAGTGGCTGACAGTGGCCCCTGCCATTAGCCAGCTTCCCTAGGCCCTGGACCAGCAAACAGCTACTCAGCCACGGGAGCTGCCCGCCAGCACGGACCAGAGACTAAGCAAGAGAAGCAGCGGAGGCCACTGGCCTGGGCTGAAAAGCAACCTCAGGTAAAGGGGATGTCCCCGCCAGGAGACGGCCCATCCCCGGAGTGGGGGTCAACACTGTCAGCACCTGGGTCAAGGGGAAGAGGGCTCAGGACATGGGTCCCACAGAGCTGGTTGTCCTGTGTTGTCAGGAGCTCCCCTACCACTCATCAAGGCAGGTTAGGGCGCCTGTTTCAAAGATGACCTGCACCACCATCACCCTCAGCAGGTGAACTTGGGAGACAAAGATGCTCCTACTAAGCTGGTGGAAGCCACTGGGCCCAACTACAACGACAGATAGGAGGAGCTCTACGTTTCGTCACTAGTAAGGCAATGTATCGGGTCCGCTCTGTGCTACCCATTCCTGAGAGGAAGGCCAAGGCTACGGAGCTGGCCAAGAAGCTGCAATGGAGGTGCACCGTTGAGTTTTCTGCACACAATAATGAAAAGTTCCTCCAAAAACAGAGGCACAATGAGCACCCATGTCACACTCATGAGGATGGCCACAGTGAATACTAACAGAAAACAATAAGCTTTGGTGAGGATGCAGAGAAACCAGAACACTAACACCGCTGGTGGGCATGGCAAAGGGCACAGCCCCACGGTCCGGCAAGTCCGGCCCAGCAACTCCACTCCAAGGAACCGAAAACCAGCGTTCAAACAAAAGTGTGTACATGCTCACAGCAGCTCTTCTCACAACAGCCCAACGTGGAAACCACCTAACTGTCTACCAACAGATAGACGATGACCGGATCCACGGGCGGCTTATGATCAGCTACAGAAAGGACTGACGGGCGCTGACAACAGAACCTCGGTGAAAGGGGCCGCGTACCACAAGTCCACTGAGACGAGACATTGGGTCGGGCATATCCACAGACAGAAAGGAGATCCGTCGGTGCCAGCGACCGGGGTGCGGGGGGGACTGGGAGTGACTGCAAGGAGCTCAGGGTGTCCACGTGGAGTTACGAGCAATCTCCGGTCGATGGCTGCAGAACGCCGTGCGTGCTAACGCCAGGAACCATGCTCCTCTCAGAAACCACAGCACGCTTTACGTCACGTGCATTCCAGCACAAGGAAGCATCCGAGTCTTCCAGCTAAGCGCCAAGTGCAATCACAATGCACTCCAACGGTACTGCAAACAGCGGGGTGGTCAGCAGCACGAACGCCGTCGACGGCCCAGGAACCGTCTGGGACGTGGCACAAAAATCCATTTACATTGGATGTTACCACCTGAAGAAGCACACTAATTCCCTAGGGCATCATGAAAGAACAGAGAGAGCGCACGCAGGTGTCCCGTGAGCACAGAGGGACCAGGGACTTGGCTGAGCAAGAGATGAATCAAACACAAAACTAACAGTGAGATGGCAAACACCAACTTCCATATCCCAAATGCCTTAAACGCAGCTACACTCAGCATGCCGACTGCAAGACAAGAACGTCAGACTACCTTTAGAGAGGAAGAAGTCACCTCCGTGCTGTTTCCAGGAGGAACGACCTACATCAAGGGCAGAAGGACAAACTAAAAGGACAGAACGAGACCCAGCCGGCGGCAGCAGCAGACCAGGCCCTGCTGCAGTAAAGCAGATGTCCCGCGCAGCTGAGAAAACTCAAAGATTGAGAAGAGGCGAGGAGGAAGAGACCAGCTCACCCTCACGGGGGACCTCAGTATCTAATGCATTTTCTGGAGTAACTGGAAGACAAGAAGCAGTGACACGCAACAAACTCTTTTCAAGCACACAGAACATTTCCACACAGGAGGTAAAACCTCACGACACACGTCTCAGCAAGCTTCAGTTACGATGGCAGGTGAGCTCCCTGACCGCTGTGCCACTCAACCAGAAATCAACCACAAAAAGTGACTTTAAAAGTCCCAAGTGTTGGCCAGCATTGTGGTCTAACAGCTTGAGCCCCGACCCGAGGCACTGGCGTCTACCTGGGTGCCAGTTTGAGTCCTGGTTGCTCCACTCTCAATCCAGCTCCCTGGCGATGGCCTAGGAAAAGCAGAGGAGGGGGCCCAAGTGCTGGGGCCCCTGCCCCCACACAGGAGGCCCAGAGCTTCAGGCTCCAGACTTCAGCCTGGGCCAGCCCTGGCCATTGTGGCCACCTGGGACGTGAACCAGCGGATGGAAGACCTCTGTCTCTCCTCCTCTCTCTGTAACGCTGCCTTTCAAATAAATAAAAAATGAATCTTAAAAAAAAAGTCCCAAGTGCTTAAACACTAGGCTGTACACTTTTGAGTAAACTGCAAGATATCACAATGAGAATTGGAAAAAAAATCTTGAACTTAATGAAGATAAAAATAACCACATCAAAATGTCTGGACGCGCTGGGGAGCAACCCAGCACACGGCAACAGCGTCCTCTCGCGCCTCCTGGCCCTCGCCCGCCCCGGCCTGTCTCACAGGACAGTTGCAGCACAGTGGCACTGGCAGCAGCTTCAAGCGTGCAGCCTCAAATGTACGCAATAAAAAGGAAGCTGAAATTAGGGGAAGTCACACCAAGAAGTGAGCAGAAACAACAGGAAATAAAGGAGGAAATGAAGAGAAGAAATTAATGCAGAAAACTGCACGTGGAAGTGGAGACCCAACCTGGGTTATTTGAAGCGATCAGTGAAACTGAGAAACCCTGGCAAATCTGAGAGGAAAAGACACGGAAAGGGGCCCACGGGGTCTCCAGGGGACACCCAGGACCTTTGTGCCGTTAATAAATTGAAAATTTAGATGACTCTTAAAACATACCAAAGCCGGCGCTGTGGCACAGTGGGTAGGGCTGCCGCCTGCAGGGCCGGCATCCCACGTGGGCGCCAGTTTGAGTCCCGGCTGCTCTACTTCGGATCCGGCTCTCTGCTGTGGCCTGGGAAAGCAGTACAAGATGGCCCAAGTGCTTGCCCCCTGCACCCGCGTAGGAGACCCAGAAGAAGCTCCTGGCTCCCGGCTTTGGATGGACACAGCTCCAACCGTTGTGGCCACCTGGGGAGTGAACCAGCGGATGGAAGACCTCTCCCTCTCTCTGTAATTCTGCCTTTCAGATAAATCAATCTTTAAATAAATGAGTAAATAAACTTAGCAAACTGACACCAGGAGAAACAAAAACTTGAACTGTCCTGTATCTCTTAAGGAAAAACCAATCTATATTAAACTTTGTACGCAGAGGCAAGACAGCCTTTCGCGGGCAGCGTGGACTCCAGGCGGCTCTGGCAAGGCAGGGTGGGGAGCGTCCAGCCCACGCCTCGCGAGGCCCACGGCCCTGCCACGCGGCCCTGCTTCGGGGATGGCGCGAGGGTCCCAGCGGCCCTGCGGTGCGGGATGAGGGATCCCAGGGCGGTTCCCGGGTGTGGCCTTCCCGGCGGGCGGAGGGACAGCAAGTGCTGAGCCCGGCGTCCCCAGGGACACGGAGTCTCCGTGGGAGGGGTGGACGCGGCCTGTCAGACGGCGGGGACCCGAACAGTCCGGCCCAGGCCCAGCACAGCCGCTCCCCCGGCCGGGCGCCCGGGCTGGCACCGCACAGGACCGCATGGACACGGCCTCCGTGCACACCGGGCCTCCGTGGGTTCCGCGGCTCCTCACGCCGCAAGGAGAGCCTGCCCCTCGACGCCGGGCACCAACTCCGCCCGGGGGTCGCCCGCGGACACCAGAGACCCCTTCCCCGCGCTGCCAGCCCCGCGTGGACGCCCGGCCTGCGTGGCCACAGGGGTCGCCGGCCGTCCACGCGGGGCTGGGGCGACAGGCCAGCGGCCGGGCTGCGGGTGTCCACCGCCCGCCCCGGCCGAGGCGGCGCCCTCAGACGTTTCCCGCGCGGCCGCGGCGCCTCAGGCAGGCCCGGGCTCGGGGCTCGCCGGCGCCTACTGTGTGCGCGGCCACAGCGCCCTCTGGCGGCCGCGCCCCAGCCCGCTTCCGGGGCCGCCGGCGCCTACTGTGTGCTGCTGCCCGGGAGCCCCGCAGGCCCGGAGGCCGGCCCGGGCGAGCGCCCCGGCGCCCCCGGCCCGCTCCGCGCCGGCCCCGCCGCGCGCCCGCCCGCCCCGCCGCGCGCAGGCCCACCGCCCCGCGCCCCGCGCCCGGCCAGGCCGCGCCGGCCCCCTCGTCCCTCCGGGCGCCGGCCGGCGGCGGACGCGGCCGCTCTCCCCACCCGCTTCCCGCGCGGGCTCGGCGGGGGCGCGGGGAGGGGGCGCGGAGCGGGCCGGGGGCGGGCGGAGGGAGGAGGGGCGGCGCAGGCGGAGGGAGGGCGCGAGGGAGGGAGGCAGGCGGGCGGCCGCCCCCGCCTCCGCCGCCCGGCCCAGGAAAGTAGGCCCAGCGCGCGGAGGGGCCGCGGCGCCGCGCGTATCATTCCGCCCGCGCTGCGGCCCGCCCGGCCAGTCGGCGGCCCGGGTCCGCGGCCCCCGCCCGCCGCGCCGCTCCCGGCGCCCCCCGCGCCATCCGGGCACTCGGCGGCGGCGGCCGCGCCCGGCGCGGAGGGCGAGGCCGCGGGCCTTACCGGAGTCGCCGCGCGCCGCGCCGTCCCTGGGCTTCGGGGGGCGGCCCCGCGGCATCGTCGGCGGCGGACCACCCCTCACTCGGCGCTCCCTCTCGGCGGCGGGCGCGCGCACGCGCGGGTGGCGGCGGGGGCGCGCCCGGCCGGGCCGGGCCGGGGCCGAGCCGGCGGAGGCGGGCGGAGAGGCCCGGCGCCGGGGCCCGTGCGAGGCCCGCCGGGCTCACGGGGTCAGGCGCCCGGACGCGCGGGCGGCGGCGCTCGCACCGCGCCGGCCTCGGCGGGTTCCATGGCCCGCGGGCCGCGGTGGGGGCGTTGGGCGCGGGGCGGTGGGGGCGGGGGCGGCGCGGGGCGCATGCGCGGGCCCGGCGCGGCCGAGCGGGCGGCGGCGTCACCTGGCCGGGCGGGCGCCGGCGGCCGGGCTGCGGGGCGGGTGTGCGGGGCTGCGGGACGGGCCGCAGCGGAGCCTGATGGGCGCCCGCAGGGCTGCGGGCAGAGCAGGGGCCCCTGGGCCCGGGAAGCCGGCTGCGTGTCCTGGCGCGGTGACCGCGTCCGCCCCAGCGCCGGGTGGCCCGCAGGTGCCCCCGAGGCGGTGCGCAGAGCTGGGGGCTGCGGGGACAGACGCGCCCCCGACCCGGCGGGCCGGAGCGACCCCGCGGCGCTCAGGTGCCCGTGGAGCCGCGGAGACACGCCGCGAGTGAGTACGAGTGGAAGCCGGAAAGGTGTTCTTTTAACTGGGTCTTAAGAACCAGTTGCATCTGTAACAGCTGGAGGCCAGGACGAGCAAAGAAAGGAAAAAGCCGAGGCTCCTTGGTGGGCGGTGCGTCTGCACGTTCTCCTCCGGGTCCGGAGAAGCCCTGGGCGGTGAGCTGCGAGACGGGATTTGGTAGCTGTCGTGTTAGCCCGCGCGTTGACGTAAACGCCTCTGCTCGCATGGTTCCTACCGGGGCCAAAGACGCCTGCATCCGGAGGACTCCGGTAATCGGCCGAGGCCACGTGGGTGTAAGTAGACCCAAGATAAGAACCAAATCTGCTTACCCTTAATCCCACGTGGCTTCTGGCTGCACCAGAGAGGACTCCACCTGATAACTACAGCAGCACTGTGCGTGTGTGGGAAGGCAAACCAGAAAAGTGTCTGGACATACGGGTGTTTGGGGTGTATGTGAGTTTATATCCTATTGTGATCTGAAAAGGATTGAAGCCATTTGCAAAATTATATAGATGAAAAATCAGGATGGAGAAAAAATAAAGTGCCTAGACTAACTGCGTAGGGTCTGTTATGGTTGGAAAACATAGATTAATCATCAGACCCTGGGCCACTTAGCCCAAGAAGCAGGAAAAGTGTAGTTACCTGGTCAGACGCATAAAAGTGATCTGTGGTTTGAGTAACGCGTGTTTTCCCTGATGCTGATCTTATAAGCTTGCTGTCTTGTGTGGCTGCTGAGGCATAGTGAAGGTGAGCAGTAGTCTGTAAAAAAAGATTCATTTGAGTGGCAGAGCTGCAGGGGGAGGGAGAAACAGGTCTTCCATCCACTGATTGACTCCCGAGATGGCCGCAGAGGCTGGAGCTGGGCCTGTCCGAAGCCGGGAGCTTCATTTGGGCCTACATGAGTGCGGGGGTCCAAGCACTTGGGCCATAGCAGAGAGCTGGGTCAGAAGAGGAGCGGCGGGACACGGGTGAGCACCCACATGGGACGCTGGCGCCGCAGGCGGAGGCTTAGCCTGCCACACCCAGCACCAGCCCTGGTGAGCAGTATTTTGGACATCACCCCCGACCAGTTTTATGGTGTTGTTTCTGAATACCGTCCCTTAGCAGAAGATAAACGTCTAACACCAAAGCAAGGTTGGTGAGCCTGAGAACCGGAGCGGGAGGTGGGCAGTTTTTGCCTGACCTGCATGAAAGCGAAGTAGTTGCTTCTAAGCGAGGTGTTGAGGAACCTCAGGAACGTGTTACTTGGACCAGCACAGGAGAGAGTC